AGCGTAGTGGTTACACTTCCGATTTCATAAGGGTGACTCGTAGTCTTGAACCCTATCTCAGACAATGTAGCACACCGGATCTTTTCATTGAGTGATATTCTCTCATAGCCCGTGCGTTTATGGCCATGCACGTTATCCCGGTTTAGTGAACGCTCTAGCAACTTTGTTCCTCCAAAGTCCCATAGAGAGCGGCCCCACTCCCACATTCACATAGGTGAGTCTATCAGAAGTACCCCCAAAGTAAAGTACTTCACTCCACATAGAGTATAGATCTCATTAAGAGTTTTAACTCAACCTCCAAGGCTTTGGGATTCATGCTTCAATATGCATGAACTTTTCTCAATATTACTCATGACTTGTTATTACCCATTGAACCCGTTTCTTGGGATCTCCAGTCTATCGGGTCGGGTTACCATCACTTGTAATCCATGGTTCGGTAGGCATAAGTCTCATACCCTTCGTGGTATTTTGGACTTTCTCTCTAGATAATCCTTTCGTCAAAGGATCAACTAGATTCTGTTAGGACCTTACAGGATCCACCCTCATTGCTCCTATCGTTAGGAGTTCTCTTACAGTACTGTGCTTACGACGAATTTGTCGTCTCTTTTCGTTCTAGAACCGGTTCCCTTCTTTAGTAATAGCTGCGGTGCTATCACAATGAATCAACTACCGGAGGGATCGGTCTTTCCCATGAGGGATTCTCTAGTAATGATCCTCTCAATCAACTTTCCTCTTTACTAGCCATTGCTAGTTCTATCATTTCCGATTTCTTAGTTGATTGAGCCAGGATCGTTTACTTCTTAGACTTTCAAGACATAGCTTCTCTATCGATGTTTAAAACACAGCCTCTTGTTGTCTTGGAGTCCTCTATAGGGTATTCTAATCCGCATCATTATACCCTACCAGTACAGCAAAACCTTTGATAACAAATACCAAGGTTTTTCTGTTCTTTTAAGGTGTCTCATGACCCCTTTCAATAGCATTTCAATGCTTCATACTAGGACAATCAGTAAGCCTGCCAAGTACCCCCACTATGTCGGGTCTCATGTTTATCAGCTGCCTCTCGCAGACTGTCGATGCTAGTATGTTCTTACTTTATTACACCGTCTTTGGTGCTCTTAAAAAATTATACTAGCACCATCAAACATTTATGCAGGTGTAGAACTCGTATTTCCTCTAGATCTAACTTTGTAGTTAAACTGATCTAGATGAAATCTCTTTCATTGTCCTAGTAATCTGGATCTCTGAGCATAACACTTGCTTCATCCAGATCTTTTTGCCTTCATAATTCTCAAACAACATGGTTTTTCATAATATTGACATCACGAGTCTTTGTACCAAAGATCGAAGTGTCATTCATAATGCGAGTGTCATTCTCAAATTTGTACTAAATGCACTTGTCACTTTCATTTTAAAACCATGAGAGAGAACTCGATTGTTCATGCCACTGTTTATGAGTCTATTTCAAATCCTATAATGATTTGTCTAACCATAGACTCCAGAAGCATGTTCTAGAATAACAACCTTTAAGATTGTCCCAATGTAGATTTCTTTATTCAAATCACCATTCACAAAAGTATTTTAACGTCCATGTGATGGATGTTATTCTACATATTGGTGAATAGATATCAAAGAAATCTACAATTTATTTCCCCTTCACCTAAAGCCTTCGCTACTAGGCTATCATTATACTCATAAACTAAACCATCAGGTATCAGTTTTCCTTTTAGGAATCCATTTATTACCTTGGCATCATTGCCAAGAGGTAATTCTCAAAGATGCCAAATCTTGTTCGATTCTATCGATATATTACCCAAGGCTTTTCAACCAAGAGGTAACTCTACAAGATTTTAAGTCTTATTAGACTCCAATAATTCCATTTCGTTAATAATGGATTCTCCCACAATTCTGCATTTTTATGGAAGTTCGAACTTCTAGCAGACTTGTAGGATCTTTCTTTTTTAGGGTGTAAATAACAAATTCATAACCAAAATCCTTTCATGATTTATGGTTCATTTGTCTCTTCTGGTTCATACTCAGATTCATCACCCCCACTAGTTATCCATTATTTATAATAGTAGGCAGGATATCACCCCCACTATTTCTTAATATGAATGGAATCTATTGGCATCAATGGTTTTCACAAAGTAATGAGTATTTCATTTCATAGGCTTATGTGTTTTACAATAACTTACACACTCATATGCTCTTCTAGTTATCATGTCACTGATTCTCTAACGCTACCACATGCATGCCACATATCGAATAATCAGTGCAATCATAATGCAACTAGGCATTTCAAACTATTTCGAATAACTAGTTAGACAATCAGAGCACTCTAAAGAGCAATAAATTATTTATTGTCTTTTCCAACAAGTTCACCCATATCAAAATAAATAAGATCTATCGATTCTGATTCTCTAACCACATATTTATGGGTCATTTAGCCTGAATATACAAAATTCATATTTTTCTCAAGCATCCAATAATAATATGGGAATGCGATATAAGATATTCTAATTCTTCACAAAGACACACTCGTCCCAAAAAAGAATCCATCTTAGATCGTCTATCATAGACATCCCTTGGGGCGCTAGTATCCAACAACCATTCTTCAGAGTTACCATTAAGGCTAACCTCTGTCATCACCTAAGCGATTATTATTTCCAAATCCTCTTCTTTAATCAAGTTAACACAATACTATGTTAAACTTGCTCTAACACTTTCGTGTCGTATGACCTAGTTTTTCTCAAATTTAATTGAGAAACATAGCGTCATTCTTAGAGAATTGTGTGACAATCTTATGGTTACCACGATGGGTACCATTCTAATTGGTGTGGATCTGGTTCAGCTTGCTGCTCTCATTATTGAAACTTTAATGTTTCACAGCAACCTAAGTGGTTCGTGTAGTACTGATAATAGTACTTCTTATAATATCGTTATTATGGGCAATAAACCCATTCTATTCCCATATATTCTTCACATATATGCATTTAGACAAAATCATTCTTTCCATAGCATGTATTCAATTTATGCTCTAATCATTGAGATAGGTAATATATCTCAATGTCAACTTATCATACATCCATTCAAGTTTTCATTCTAGTATTCATAACCTTTCTCAATTCCATGCATAAAAGGTTCATAGAAATATATTCTAATTTGTCATTTATTAATGACTCATGAGGATGGTTAAGGTACTTACCTCCTCTCGAGAGGTCATTGCCTTCTCATTTGGCTACGAGTAGCTCTCCCCACGTAAAGCTTCCTTATTGCTTTTCATCCCTTCGATCTTTAGGGGAAACACTTCATCTTCACGCGGACAACAGCAGCAGCAATTACCATATCCATGCAAAGATATGCCCCGGGCTACTATCTACTGATCTCTGTTTGGGCCCCCATTAATCCTTTAGCTTCAGACTAGGATTTTGAAACCCCGGCCAGCTGTGCTGCAGATTCAAGTCTGCTGCGAGGCCCACTTCTGTTCAATCTAGTAGCATTTTCATCAGCCTAAGCTTCGAACTGGGCTTGTTATGACCTGGCCCAACTGAGTGAGCTATTGGCCAGATCCCTACTTCGGCCGTTCTTGTCCACAACGCCACCTCTTCAATTGACTATTTTTTATCCTTGATTTACGGAGACATAGCCAAGGCCCAAGAGAAGACTGGTGGTAGGTTGGGATTTGTCGTCCGATCGAGGAATTTCTTTGCGGTGCTCCGACGTCGTTATCATCATCGATCGTCGGAACTCGTTCATCCCGCCGCCGCTGCCGGACGCCATCTGCGGCTGCTTCCCAGCATCCTCGTCGCGAAGGTCCGGTCACCTCAGGTACTCGTCGCCATACCTCTAATCCAAACCAGGACTGCTATCGGAGCCTAGACCCCGCCACTTGGGATCCCGGCCGAGGCAGCTTGCCGAGCAACGGCTCCTGCTCCTCCGCCCGTTACCTCGTCCAAAAGGAAATAGAAAGTCAACCAATTTTATACCAATGAATAAAATAGAGAAACCACGAAACAGCTTACGACCCAAAATAAGAAGATATAATTCTTCTTTCATGCCTCGCTAGCACACTGTGTACCAATCTTAGTTAGCCAATAAAGAAGCGGGGGATAACTTTGTCCTATCTTCCCAGGGAATACATTCCCTTCCAATTCACCATGACTCTTCGAATTTCGAGACATGGAGGCCAGGACTAAGTAACGTGATCCATTGCTGGACGGAAACCAAAACGGATTCCAATCGGCTTTCCAAAAGGTGAGACGGTAGACCGTCCGAGGCTTCTTCTGCGGAGTGTCAACGACCGCCAACGAGCTCGGCAAAGCAATGGGCGATGTAAAATCGCTTGAACCAGAATCGGTATCTTGTTCGGTATACATGACAGCAACCAAACGTCTTAAAATTGTTAGAAACCGAACAGAAAAATTAGGGTTACCGATCTGGCTGAGTCGCGGACTAGGTCGCTCTCTTTAAGACGTTCGCGGCACTGCCTTCGTTGCGCACGGCAGACTATCAGCCGGTCTCCTCCAGGATAAAACAGCCATTCTTATTTTGTTGCTCATCGGTTTTGTGCGAAAACCGGAGCTCTATGAACTCACTCTCTATCTCGTGTTTCTGCTCTCTGAGGGTGTGTTTAGAGGGTCTAGGGGTCTGCTATTTATAGGCGCAGAAAACCTAGAATATTCCCTCTTTCTTTGGGAATAAGCCACATTTTAATTAGGAAAATAATTACTTCCATAATTAAAATATATTATATTATATTAAGATAATTAATTCTAATTATCTCCATAATATTCTTTTTATTAATTATCCTTCCTATTTTCGTATCTAGAAAGAATACGGGATAATTAATTCAATATAGCTTTCAAAGCTATTCATTCCCAACAGACGGGTCAGACAGGGACAAGGACGGGTCGGGACGGGACATGCAAATTTTCAGCCCTAGCCAAGACAGTAAAAATAAAAGCAGCCGAGCCGAACCCGCCGAAACCAAACATCTGCCTCTCTGTTGCCTAATCCACTGCTTCCGACCAGCACCACCTCCACCTCCACTCCTGATCCGCGGCCGCGCCCACCGGCGCTTTTCAGCTTCCCCCGCCTGCCAATGATCGCCTTTCTTTACCGGTTCCTCCCTTCCTCTTCTCATCATCTTTCTTCTTCTTCTCTCTATTTACTCTCCTGCAAAATGGGTAGCCGTTGCTCCTCTCTCGCCACCCCCTAGTTTCCTTTCCTCTCCGCTGCCTGAGATTTCCACCCCATTTCCCGCTAGCTTTTAGGTTTTCGCAACCATGGGGCTGGGACCTAGGGTTTGCAAGAGGTGGATATGGAAGGTGGGTTTGGTGTTTGCTCTCACTCTCTCCGCCGGTGCCACCACCTTCGCCGACGCTGCTGCTACTAGGGTTCCGATGTGCCCCGTACCTGCTATTACAGATTCGATCTTTGGGTTTCGAGATGCCAACTCTGATTTCGCTAATTCTCAATCACTCTCTTCCGCTTGCGTCAACGAGGTATCCTTCTTTCCTTTCTATTTCTCCCCCACTACCTTTTTACCCAATTTTCCTCGACATTTCGTTGTCAATTGTTAAACCGTAAAAAAAAAAAAAAAAAAATTTTAAATATCTTGATTCTTGATTGCGCTATCTAGTTAGTAGTTGATGGATATGCGCTAGTTTTGGAGCTGGTGAAGTTCAGTACCGTTGGTTGCTTTGCGTCCTAAAACAGGGCCGTTAAGGAAAAATGGTCGCTTAATATCAGTTAGTAGTAAACAGTATTCCGTTAGGTGTGGAACAGTAGAGTTTCCTGGTTTAGTTAGTCTAGATTTTCTACTTGCCTAGCAATAGCTTTCAGTTGTCCTTTAGGAGGCGACTGCCTAAAAAGTCTTGGCTTCAGATGTCGTCCAGCCATTTTTCCCACGGTTACTCCATTTATTAATTTAATGAGTATAGAGGATAATTGGTGGATCTTAGGTTGAGTTTGGTCCCACTTTTTTCCTCTGATTTTCATGGATGACCTTACTCTTACAGGTGGACGAAGTTCCATTACAGAAAGCGCTAGACTTGATATACAAGGGTGGTCTGGATTATGTAGCTGTGCTCTTTTATGCAGCATGGTGCCCTTTTTCAAAGGCTTTTAAGCCGAGGTTCCCTGTCTTGGCTTCTCTGTATCCTTCTATACCCCATATTGCAGTTGAAGAATCATCCATCCGTCCCAGGTTTGCTGCCTTCTCCTCCTGGGGTTTGAATTGTTTTTCTCTGATCATGGGGAACAATGTTAGCTGTTTACTTAATGATAGCATTCATTGGTTTAACTAGCATGCTGTCAAAGTATGGAGTTCACGGCTTCCCTGCTCTGGTGCTTCTGAATTCTACAGTGCGATTGAGGTATCATGGTTCCCGCACTCTTGGCTCTCTTGTTAATTTCTACAGTGATGTAACCGGTAAGACTTTCTGGTCTGTCTCGCTGGCTATCACATTAATTTCTTTTGTTGCCACCATTGATCGGGTGTGCTTGGGAGAACGATATTTGTAACAACATGCAATTCAAATTTGTTTTACGCTAACACTTTAATTTGTGTGTATTTGAAATAGCCCATGCAAAGCAAAACACAGAGAAAATTAAGACCGAGTGTCTTTTGAACGGCAGTAGCTAAGCAGTCCTAGTTCCCTAATATTTTGTTTTCTTCTTCTTGAATGTGAAAGACTAGTTTTTTCGCTGATTATATAGATGCTTAGCAATTAGATGCTAATATTCTCACTTCTAATATTCTCACTGCCAACATAAATATGAGAGGCAGCATTGTGGATTTTCAGAGGGTTATCGTTAGGAACATAAATTTTTGAACTATTGTACATTTCCAAAGTAGGATTATAAGACTTGTGAATGTATCTATCTTTTTGTTTAGGATTTGCTTACTATTTGCAGGTATAACAATTGCATTACCTGATAAAGCATCTCTATCAAAGAACTGGCACCCGTCAAACAGTGGAAGGCATGGCAGCAACGTCCAGGAAAGCTGCCCATTCTCCTGGGCTAAGTCCCCAGAAAAATGGTTTAAGCAAGAGACCTATTTAGCTCTGGCCTCTGCCTTTGTACTCTTCAGACTGCTCTACTTAATTTTGCCTAGTCTGCTCTCATTTTCTCAACTTGTTTGGAGGAGGCACCTTCATTATCCAAGATTAGGGAGCATATTGGATCATCCTCGTGCCTTTCTGAATGATGTCGTCCAGGCGTTCAAGTGCCTTGTGGGGCCTTGCAGCAGGAAAACAAACCTGCAAGAGGGAGCCATGAGTGCTAGAGCATGGGCGTCAAAGTCGCTTGCCACGGTATCGATAGGAGAAGCGAGCACAAGTAGAGCTTCGCAGATACGGGAATGCCGATAATTAGAAATGGCTGTGCGCTACATGGTAGGTGTGCTGGCTAGAGTATGCCTAAAGAGTAAAGAGCTCGATTTTGGCTGAATTGTTCTTTTGCTCCGTCCAAGCTCAAGGTCGGTTAAGATGCGATACAAAAGTTATCTTTTGACAGTGTAGTAAAGGTCAATCAATTGCCTAATTTGTTTATATTCAGGCATAATACAATTCGTTGGCCTTTGGCAAAGAACAATAATGTGAATCCAACTTGTGAATAGACTTTAAAGCTGGTGATGATCCCATGTAGCGGTAACCGGCAACATTTCTATTTTGTACATAGTAACTATGATGTTATGTGCCAGGGACTTAGATGATCGATTCTCGAGGTAAATGGATAGTGAAAGAATCAGTAGATTTGGAAATGAATGGATTTGATTCTGGGTCACGAGATTATCCTCTGAATATTGGTCGAGATCGGGGGAATCTAGCTATTACCTCATCATTTCTCTGTAATTGGTAGGATTATTTCCCTACATACAGTAAAAATTAAAAAGTAATTCCCATAATACATCACTTTTACAAATATTTATCAAACTACCAAAGTTTGAATCGGTTTGAGTTTAATAAACTCGAACTAGTACCAGATCGATTGTCAAGGGATCGATCCACGTGCATCGAGCGAAACAGCCACGATTGGCTAGCACAGGACGACGCGGATCGAGTCTATTAAACTCGATTTACATAGATCGAGTACAGAGGACTCGAACTAGGTGACATGGATCGATGACATAGGCAGCGCTCCACCCTAGATCGAGATACATGGGTTCGATCTCTACCGTTCGATGGCCATATCCGCGATGAAGTGGTGACGCGGATCGAGTGCGCGGAACTCGATGCAAGTGGATCGAGTGCTTGGGAATCGATCTGTTTGACGCGGATCGATGACGTCAGACACGCTTTGCTGTAGATTGAGTACTCCAAACTCGATCTTGGTCGTTCGATCTGCCATCACAAGAGCTACTTTTGACGCGAATCGAAGGCTGCAAACTCGATGCAGTTGTTCGAGTCCCCTAAACTCGATCCACCTCCTCCCACTGCACCTATAAATACCCCCTTCCATTCCACCAAAACTCACACCACTCCATTCTTCTTCCTCTCTTCCTCCCACCACTCTTGAAGAAAAAAATATGCTCTGTGGTTGCGGCTAAGCCCGATCTTCCGCATCAATTTTTTTTTAGTTTGGTACTCCTATCACTCAAAATTGTCGAGATGGACCCGAGTATTTGCGATCCTAGATTATACATTCAAGGCGGACCGCGAGAAACTGATTTATTGGATGAGCAACCTTACCATCGGCCTGAAAGTGTTCGGGCTGCAGATCCGGTAAGCACTTCCTCATGTCTTTTTCTTTTTTTAAATGTGATAGTATTCTTCTAATTTTTTTTGTATAATAATTAATGTTTTTTTTTCTACAGGAACAACTTGACGTAATCACCCATCGGTCGCTATCTCGCTTGCCTAAATGAGATGATCGTATCGAGCCCTTCATTGAAAGAGCGCGATTGTTGAGGGTGCGAAAGTTTGTGGGGATGGAGATGGACAACAACCTTCTTACGAAAATGGCGGAAAGATGTAGAAAAGAAACGCACACATTCCACCTTCTGGAGGAGAGATGACGATTACGTTGAAGGACGTGGCCATGCTGACAGAGCTTCCAATCGATGGTGATGCAATAATAGAAAGTTCACAGAAACCATTGAATGGTTGGGGCCAATTTATAAGTGAGCGTTTAGGCATCAACATCCCCGAGGAAGCACCAGAAGGTCGTCGTGTACCACCTCTACACAAGTCTATTCTATTGATACCTTGGCTAGTGAGGACCGCTGGAGAATTATCGGAGGATGCCACGGATGCTCAGATAGAGAGGTATGCTCGCATCTACCTGATTTGTTTGGTTGGAGGATTTTTGTTTCCGAACAAGTCTGGTGGAAATATGCATTGTATGTGGCTTCGAGTTCTTTTGGAAGATTGGGACGAGATAGAGAGAAAAAGTTGGGGATCTGCTTGTTTGGCGATGATATATTCGGAGTTGTGCAAGTGTACGGACCCGAAAACAAAGCAAGCCGGTGGTCCCATGTTCATCCTCCAACTATGGGTTTGGGAGCACCTTCCTACTTTCGCTCCGATCTGCCCTGCCAACAGTTGGGGTCCCGAAGAGCCACTACGACAATGGGCTTATGGTGCTAGATGGATTGGAGCTATCACGAGACTCACCTCTCTAGACGGGTACCGCCAACATCTTGACCGTATAGAATTCAACGAGGTAACATTTTAGCCTATGATTTATTTTTATGATTACGAATTCTATTTTATTTGTTGAAATTATTTGTCTTAGCCCATGATTTATTTTTATGATTACGAATTCTATTTTATTTGTTGAAATTATTTGTCTTAGCCCATGATTTATTTTTATGATTACGAATTCTATTTTATTTGTTGAAATTATTTGTCTTAGCCCATGATTTATTTTTATGATTACGAATTCTATTTTATTTGTTGAAATTATTTGTCTTAGCCCATGATTTATTTTTATGATTACGAATCCTATTTCATTTGTTGAAATTATTTGTCTTAGCCCATGATTTATTTTTATGATTATTGTTGAAGCCGTGATACTTTTTCACCCTCGAGATTCTTCCACTTGCTCCGCGCCTGGCGCTTGGACCCTGCAGGACGGGCGCCGGGAGGGCTAGACCCGTCCGTTAGCACTCCGACGATCAAGTCAGAAGCTATTCTAGAGAGAGAAGTGAAGAAAGAAGTTTAGTGTGAGAAAGACCAACCTCTTAAATTCTACCTACCAAGTGCTATTTATACTACTCGGGCTCCTCGACCAAGCTCCGACCAATGCCTGCTACCAAGTCTTACGTCAGCCCAGCATTAAATGCCTGGTCGGCCCTGGCGCCTACGCGCCTACACGTGGCACACTGTCCGTTTTCCACGTCGGGGCGCATAGGGGGACCACTGGCCTCGTGGCGCCCTTCCGACCTTGCCCATCTGTACTTCTTTGTCTGCGAGCCTATTTTGTCGCCACGCGCCCCCCTTTCCTTCATAGCTGCTTAGGTTATGCCTTCATGGGTCATAAATGGGCTTCAGGCCCAACAGGCTCCTAACTTTCATGAGCTCCTTTCTACCATTCCAACAAGGCCCAATAGGCTCTTAACTTTCATGGGCTCCTCTCTACTACCCCAACAATTGCCCCCCAGTTAGGTGTTCACTGGTGAGCGCCTAACTATGTACCTGGCTTTCATGAGGTTTTTGCGTCGCCATGAGACGCCCGAATTCGCTTTGCACAAGCCCATGCGCCCCCATTCTAAGCAATGCGCTTTCGGTGTTTGTTTTCACGTTGCCCCCCTGCTTTTTCAGCCGATCCTCATCATACTGACCATGAGGGTGTCTGACTTTGCTTCGCACAAGCCCACACGCCTTCTATACTTACACATGATCAATCATTAAGGCGCCCGTTCTCACCTCGGTTCGGGCGCGCGAAAGAAAAATCAAGAGGCGCATAACCGCGCTTCCACTTGGTTTTGAACAAACAAGGAGGCGCACGACCGTACCTCCTGCCTCGACCTTACTCTTACCAGGCGCATGACCATGCGCGTGACCGTACCTCCTGCCCCCCACTCGGTGTGCGTTCAAATTTTGAATTTCAAAATTCAAATTTTGAACGGAGGGCGAGGATTGGACCGTTCAGCGCGCGGTTTCCGAGGTGACTCTTCACCTCCTCCCTTCCTCTTATAAATATTCACTCTCCTCTCCATTCTACCTCATTCACCCCAAATCTGCTTCTCTCTCTACTTCCTCTCTCTAGCTGCTCCCTCTCTTTCTTACCCACGCGCCCTCTTTTCTCACGTCTGTGCGCCCGTCTTCTTTTCATCGCCATGTCGAAGTCAGATTCCGGCGCGGCTCCTACATCCGCCGATAAGGAGGCGCCTAGCGTTCTTGACGTTCTGGAGCAGCACCTATCGCCTGACCCGCTGTGAAACCAGGACCAGAGGGCGCCTCGACCGACCAAGGAGGCGCCCAAGCAAGCGAAGGGTAACTCTTCTTCGAGTGCGCCTGCTAATGTGGAGGCGCCCTTAGCGGCCACCACATCGGCTAAACAAGCCCCGAATGCGCCTGAAGATTCAGAGGCGCCTTCTGAGTCCGCGCCCACGGCTTCTACAACAAACCAAGGTAATTTTCCTATGCCCCCCTGACTTCCAACTCTTCGATTTTGCATTGCTCCTTTGTTAGGCGCCCATTAGCAATCTGAGGTCCGTGTCATTGACCGAGGGCGATTGGATAACTTTTAGGCTCCGCGCCTGCTTCATCAGAGTCGGGTGAGGTGCAAAATTCTCCAGCCTCCACCAACTCAGGCGCCCCTGAAGATGGGTCGTTCAAGATAGTTGATTGGGCCGATACTTGGCCACAGGGGGGGCGCCTGAGAGTATCAGCAGCCTGCCCGTGACTCGAGCCGGCCCAAACCACGTGGCCACCGTCAAACTAGCAGAGTTGCATCGTCTGATAACATTGTGCAACTTACCCCGTAGCTGGTCTTATGCGCCTGCCTCGCGGGTTACCAGGGTAGGCGTTGTGGGTCCTCGCTGGATTGGGATCTACCGAGAGTACTTTAAGTTTGGGTTGCGCTTTCCTTTGGATTCGATTTTACAAGGAATTCTGGATACATGCGTTTGTCCTATTGGGCGCCTGTCACCGTCTGTCTTCCTGATACATGTTTTATTCAAGTTGAAATGCCGTCAGAACGACATCACTCCCACATTCAAGCTCTTCAAGCACTTTTCACGATGACCAGCAGTAAGAATTGCCTATCTCTACAGAGGCGCCTGGACATTCCGGGACATTTCGTGGAGGATTGCCCTAAGTTAGGGCGCTCCTGGTATAGGTCTTATTTCTTTATCAAGCCGCACGCGGACTCTTTCTATGAGAGTGGCGGCCGGTTTACCCGGCGTTGGAGGGTTGGCAACACCTCGCGCTTTAATGTTGACGAGGCGTTAACCAAGGAGGAGGAAGAGCACGCGCGCCTGTTGTCCCTTTATCCGGTTAACTTGAGTTCAACAGCCGCGCGTGTCCCTGTGCTTCATGAGTACTATGCTGACGGTGGGTGGGCGCATAGTATTGCACTTGCGACGCTACTGGCTAATGCGCCTGTGTTATACATATATGGCTAACTCTATTTTAACTATGTTGTGTATTGTCTTTTCAGGCGCGGACTACACCTCCGTGGCCTCCTTGATGAAAACCCAGCTGGAGAATATGGGTTTAGACTACCAAGCGCCTGTTGTCCCAGGCAAGGGCGCCTCCAAGAAGAAGGGCGCCTCAAAGAAAGGAAAGGGGAGAACCGCCCCGACACAAGCAAGGACTGGAAGCAAAACCAATG